TTTTTGAGAACATTATAAAGTAATAAAATGTTCTCAAATAAGAGAACCTTATTTTAAATATCAATGTTCTTGAAAAATTTGTATGTTCTTTGAGAACCCTGAGAACATTGAATTTTAAACACTGGTTGTAACCAGAAGGTTTAAATAGGTATCTCTATAGTTGAGATGCAGGTATGGTAGCTAGTGTAGAACCTAGGGCAAACTATTTAAATAGATAACCAAAAGTTGCATATATAGCTAGTCATACTTGCATTAATAATAACTAGAGAGCTTAAATAGGTAATCTTCTAGTTAGATTGCAGGTATGGTGTCTAGTGTATAACCCAGATAAACTACTTAAATTAGGTACCAAAAGTACATGTGTGGCTTGATGTATCCTTGTTATAATTGTATAACCTAAAGTTAATAATTTAATAAAAAATCCCTGGCTATAGAGGTCACCTTAATACCAAAAAAAATAATAATAATAATTCTGTGTTATCTACATATACTATAAATCAGTTTTAGCTTTATTTGCTAAACTAATTAGTATTAAAATATCTTATACATAGTTATTTAATTAATTATTTATACTGCATTGTTTGGTTGCTTTTGTTTAGTTTATTTTTTTTTAATAATTTTTAAAAATTACAAAAAAAAGTTTTTTTTTAAATTTAATAAAAAAATATATATAAATTTCCGATTTTGTTTATTATATATATAATTTATTATTTTTTGTTTTCTTCAGAAATAATTTACTAAATATATTTTTTAAAAAGATATTTAAGCTAAAAACTTTAAATTTTTGTTTTTAATAAAATTATACATATAAAACTAGTAATTTTTTATATACTATATTATATTTTTTTTAAAAAAAAATTAATTTACTGTATATATATATACTATATATATATATATAGTATATTAAATTGTTTATCTAAATTAGATAGAAAAATTTGGCATAACTTGCAAGCATAAATCAATAATGCTCATATATATATATACTGTTGAACCTCCCTAAATCGATCCTCTCAAAACCGATAACCTGTCAAATATGATAAAAAATCAGTCTACAAAGTCCGTTTCCGTTATATAAATCTAATAGTTTATAATGTTTTCCAAATCTGATAACCTCTCAAGACTGATACAAAATCGGTCCACCATGCATATCGGTTTGGGGAGGTTCAACAGTATTTATAAAAAATAATATATTATATTTGAATTTATTATGTACACAAAAAAAAACAAAATATATAATTTTTTTTCATAAATATTTACAATGTATACAAAATTTCATTAATAACCGACACTGAGCCCATCTTCATTAAACGTCCAAGCGAAAAAAATATACAGTATCTTGTATAAGCAAATTGATACTAAACATTTATTAATAATAATTAATCAGCATTGAAAGCACGTATAGACTCTTTGGATCTTGACCCGAGTAAGCATGATAACGAGCGACTCATTTGGAGACATTATTGACTGTACATTTTTATTTAAATTGAGAGGCAAAGAAAAAACGATATATAATTTCCTTATACGGATTGTAGGTAGCAAAAGGATATGTAAAAGGACAGAAAACCGATGGAAACAATTGCTTTTAAATATAACTCGAATGTCGACAATCCTTCGAAGTATCCATATAATCTATAAAAAGATGCGTTTTCTCAATGTAAAAGATATCGTGAAACAGATAATAGACGTGCAAATATAGTAAACCATTGAATGTTGGAAAATAATTGGAGTCATATGAAATAACTAATACCTATTCTATCTAGCGCTGATTGCTATATTGCTTGAACTGTGCCATTAAGTCTGTCACATTAGAAGCAGTAGAAATTGTAGTTGAAAATTGCGGTACATTGGGATTAATATGTTGAGATTGATGCTGAGATAGGGACAACCCATTAGGTGTAATGGGGTTAGGAGGAACGATATTTGGAGGTTGGCCCACCATCGGGGCATTATAAGGTGAAGGTGGTGGGCCAAGATTAGGTGCCATATGTGGAGGCACAGGCATAAAAGGAGGTTGGTTTGGAATCCCGGTGTTTTGGGGTGCAAGCTGTCTAAGTAACTGTTGAACATCGATATTTTGAGGTTGTTGTTGGTTCAACAAACCTGGCTGAGAAGGTTGAATACCTCCTAGTGGAATCATCGGCATTGGTTGAATTCCCTGGTTAGGATTAGTGGGTGGTTGTTGTTGCTGAAGAGTCCCAAGGAGATTTGCAAGTGCAGCAAAATTAACGTTGCTTAAAGATATTGGGTGAAGACCAGCTGGACCTGGCTGTCCTTGTTGTGATTGTGATAAATTTGGTTGACCACTAAGTAATAGGTTATCTGGTGGTCTAAGGTCACCTTGCCGTTGCAGGATACGAGTTCTCAATAAAAGGTTAACTGCTTCATCAACTTTGATATTATTGTATTCTTAGAAATAAAATGGTTTGATATATATTTAGCATAATCATTGCAGAAAACATTGCAATAAAATCCTTTATGAATACTGACCATCATATTTTACATTATCTCTTACTCGAGATTGATCGAATATTTGCATATTTACTCGACCGTTTATTGCATTGTGACGTTCCATGAAAACAACCGCATGAACACCTTCAACAATCATTTGGCGAATAACAGCTTGAATATGAAGTTTTCGAGATAAATGAAGGGTATGAACAGTGATATTTGCGTCGCGGAAAGAACTTTCTACTTGCCAAAGAAAATTACTATTGATAAAAATGGGATAGTACATTTTAATTGAAGTTCTTCTGGTGACGGCCATTGAAAAAAAACCGCGTCGTATTGAATTAGTTATAGACAAAAGACACACCGTTCCACTTCTTCGAGTACGATTATTTGACATTCAGGAACATCGCTTCCTTGGCGCCGAGGTAAGGGAAACTCATCATCCGGTTCATCATGAGATTGGGACCGATAAGGATGGTCACGACTTTGTCTTCGCTCCATATAATCCCTGGAAGGAATTCTATAGGGCTTTGAACGTTGCGCATATCTTTCATCACGATGTTCATCACGATACGAACTACGACGATATCCTCTCTCGTCACGAGGTCGATATTCGTGTTCATCTTTATAGTCACCACGATATTCTTGTGGAGAACGATAATCTCTCTGATCAGAATATTCATAACCACCTCTTGAATCATATGAAGCACGGCGGTCAAATTTATAATCAGGATTCCGACGATCGTAATCATCATATCGGCGATCTGGGTAAGATTGGCCTTGATGCCCTCGCCCTGGAGGATAATCACGGTCGTTCTGGTACCAATCTTCCTTACATCCTCTTTGATTCCAATGTTTTTCTTGCCGGTTGGCAAATGAGGGTTTGGACCCATCTTCATTTGGTGATAAATGATGCCACGGCTTACCATGGGAAACTTCCAAACCTAATCAATCATTCATGTACAAGTAAATTATAAGGCTAGCCATTGCGTTTCTAAGTACCGAACAAAATACTTGCCTAACTTCAATCCATGCAAAACTCTACCGTTTTCCTTCTCAATAGCTTTTTTAACACTTTCTGGATTATTATACTGAACAAAACCAAAACTATTTTTTATAGAGATTTGCAAGATTTCCCCGTGAGGAGAAAAAATGTCATAAAGTTCTTTTTTTGAAGTTGAATGTGTGGACAAATTTCCTAAAAATAAACGTGATCCAGATGGCAAGGCCTGAAATTCTGCGTCAGTTAATTTAGGCAGACTAAATGGAACTTTATGGTCAGATTTCTCATTATCAGCTTGAGAACTTGGGGAACGACGGCCTCGCCATCTACGAGGTTCTTTTCCATAATTATATTCCGTAGAATTATTAACAGAATTATTCCATGAAGATGTGTTTTCGCTAGTATTAGGATTTAAACTTGGGCCAAATTCGCAATGTAACGTATCACTTGTAGTAGCAACATTGTTTGGGACGTCAGAAGGATCTGTTGTTTTTGTGTGAAAAGATTTATCAATTGAATCTTGATCAATTGGGGCAACGAGAATCTCATCTGTATCCATATTGTTAATTTCATTTTGATTAGTTAATCCAGTTTTAGGTAATGATTGCTCAAGGGATAGTTGTGGAATATTGGATAACTCTGGCGTTGGGGATTGACAGTCTGGTTCGACAGATTGTTCAAGCGAAACTTGGGTCTGTATAGTATTATT